CCTCCCCTACCTCCCTGTAGCGTGGCCGAGCCCTGTATAGTCCGCTGGTACAGGGAGCTTTTGTTTCCTGTACCCGGCCGGACTAACAGGAAGTGCACACTCAGTGTGCACTTCCTGTTAGTCCGGCCGGGTACAGGAGACAGCTGCTCTATGTACCCGTCGGACCATGCTGCAGAGAGGGAGCTGACAGGAGTGCTTCCTCCTGTCAGCCTCTCCTCAGGCTGCCCGGGCGGTGCGGTCCGCCCTCATGGAAGCACCGCCCGGGCAAAGCTGCAGCCGCCTGAGGCTCTTCACAGAGCGCTCGGGCGGCTGCAGCATGGGGGGGGCGGGGGGGCTGGCCATGGCACCCCCCACCCGGCTGGCACCCGGGGCGGACCGCCCCCCCCCGCCCCCCCCTTAGTACGCCACTGGGCCCCAGCAATATCTGCAGTGAAAGAACCAGATAGACCCAAACTGACATAGTTACATAGTCAAATCCCATCCAACACAGGCCCCACTTACCGTACCAAGCAAGACAATACCTGTCACCTATACAGTGAAATAAACCGGGGGGTAAAACAAGCTAAATATAACATGGGTAGTCAAAATGGGTGGGACAATACTCGCCTCCGTGTTTTTAATAAAATCATGACTTTCGTCATGTAATAGCAAAATCATGCAATTTTATCACAAGACACGGAGGCTCATATTGCAAGTTTAAAGCCTATCGACCACTGCCTCAAACGTTTGAGGAACCGGTCTAAAGTAAAATTCCCGGAAAACCGATTCCCTCGACCAGTCAGCCATCTTCATGAGATCCTCCAGTCGTGCACCTGAAGCCATCATTGAAGATGCCAAGGCTCCCCTGATAGAGTGGGCGCCAAAAAGTGCAGTATCAATACCGGCTTGAGAGAGTAGCCATTTAACCCAGCGAGACAAGGTGGTGCTAGTGACGGGGTTAAACGGAGGACGGATAGATAAAAATAGATGGGGGGAGGATGCGGAACGGTGTAGTTTGGTGTGATCTTCATATTCGCGTAGGCAGGCCACCGGACACAGCGCCGGTGTAGAGGGGAAACTCGGATAAGATATTGACTTAATAGACGTTTTGGTGCGTCTGTTGATATTAAATGTGACACCATCAGGGGTATAAGATCTTGCATCAAAGTCCAGTGCACGGACATCCGAGACCCTTTTGCAGGAGATGAGACAAAACAAACAGACCAACTTGGCTGATAGCTGTCGTAGGGAGAGAGCGGAATTAGTGGGCCAAGAAGTGAGGAAGGATAATACCACCGATACATCCCAGGTCGCGGTGTAGCCTGGGCGGTTGAGATAGGCGAGAACCTTTGAGAAGCCGACATACCAGGGGGTACTGGCTCGCCGGGCAGCCATCGAACCCTTGATGCATCGAGGAAATGGCTGACTGATATAGGTTGATGGTCCTGTAGGCCTTACCTGCTTCAAAGAGGGAAGTCAGGAATTGTAGGACCATAATCAGGGCTGGACTGGCCCACCGGGATACCGGGAAATTTCCCGGTGGGCCGTCGTCTGCTGTCGGCCGCTGGGGAGGTCTGCTGTCGGCCGCTGGAGGACTTGTCCTGGCGGCCGCTGGGGGTAGCTGCGCTGGCAGCCGGCGCCGGTCTCATTCAGCAGCGCGCGAGGGCGGGAGAGCACAGACAGCGCAGCTCTCCCCCAGCGGCCGCCAGGACAAGTCCTCCAGCGGCCGCCAGCAGACCTCCCCAGCGGCCGCCAAAAGACCTCCCCCTGGTGTCAGGTACTAGTAATGTGTCTGTCTGTGTTATGGTGTCTGTCTGTCTGTATGGTGTGTGTGTCCATGTCATGGTGTCTGTCTGTATGGTGTGTGTGTCTGTCTGTATGTGTATGTTTGTGTGTGTGTCTGTCTGTGTTATGGTGTCTGTCTGTCTATGTCTTATGTTGTGTGTGTCTGTCTGTGTTATGGTGTCCTGTCTGTCTGTGTTATGGTGTCTGTCTGTCTGTGTTATGGTGTCTGTCTGTCTGTATGTTGTGTGTGTCTGTCTGTCTGTATGTTATGTGTGTCTGTCTGTCCGTGTCATGGTGTCTGTCTGTATGTTGTGTGTGTCTGTCTGTCCGTGTCATGGTGTCTGTCTGTATGGTGTGTGTGTGTGTCCGTCATGGGGTGTGTGTGTGTGTCTGTCTGTCCGTCATGGGGTGTGTGTGTGTGTGTCTGTCTGTCCGTCATGGGGTGTGTGTGTGTCTGTCTGTCCGTCATGGGGTGTGTGTGTCTGTCTGTCCATCATGGGGTGTGTGTGTTTGTGTGTCTGTCTGTCCGTCATGGGGTGTGTGTGTGTCTGTCTGTCATTCATGGTGTGTGTGTGTGTGTGTGTCTGTCCGTCATGGTGTGTGTGTGTGTCTATCTGTCCGTCATGGTGTGTGTCTGTCTGTGTCATGGTCTGTCATGGTGTGTGTGTGTGTCTGTCATGGGGTGTGTATCTGTCATGGTATATGTGTGTTTCTGTGTCTGTCATGGTGTAAATGTGTGTTTAAAAATAGTGTTTTTGCTCACCTTTTTTTTTTCCCCACGCAGTGTGCTGGTCTCCCTCGACTGGCCCTGCCTCTATAGCTGAGATCATCAAGCTTAATGATCTCAGCCAATCCAATGCTTTGCCATAGGATTGGCTGCAAAACGCCACTCCAATCAGCATCTCCTCATAGAGATGCATTGAATCAATGTATCTCTATGGGGAACGTTCAGCACCTACAGAGTGTGAAGGCCCTGAATGTAGGTGCACTAACACAGGAAGCACCTCTAGTGACCGTCTGAGTGACTGTCACTAGCAGTGTCACTTTGAAGCAATGTAAACACTGCCTTTTCTCTGAAAAGTCAGTGTTTACGTTGAAAAGCCTGTAGCGACATGCTATAGACACCAGTACCACCACATTAAGCTGTGTGTGCGTCTGCTAGTGAGTGAGCTTGCTTGCATGTGTGTGCCTGCTAGTGAGTGAGCTTGTGTTTTTATGTCAATGAGCTGATGTATATCAGTAAGATTGTTTGTCTATGAGGCTGTGTATCAATGAGCTTGTGTGTGTCACTGAAATGTCAGTGAAATTACCTGTGTCTGCATGTGCGTATGCTTACTGTATAATTAAACGTTTTATCCTGAAAGGACCAATATTTTATATTAGAAA